AGGGTATTGTGCTGCTGTATGTGTAACATTCATATCTGACATCTGAAGTGTCACCACTCAAGTTTGACTAGCAGGGGACAGCCATATTTCCCTAAGAGAACACCATTTCCTTTTCTTTCTAAGTTGGGATACTATCTACGTGTCACCAAACCCACCCTTTAAAAGTGTTTTTTAGTGCATTCACAAAGTTGTACCACCAACATCACTATCTAATTCTCGAACATTTTCTTTTCTTTTCTTTTTTTTTTTAAATATTTATTTATTTGAGAGGTAGAGTTACAGGCAGAGAGAAGGAGAGACAGAGAGAAAGGTCTTCCATCCACTGGTTCACTCCTTAGATGGCAGCAATGGCTGGAGCTGAGCCAATCTGAAGCCAGGAGCCAGAAGCTTCTTCCGGGTCTCCCATGTGGGTGCAGGGGCCCAAGGACTTGGGCCATCTTCTACAGCTTTCCCAGGCCACTCCAGAGAGCTGGATCAGAAGAAGAGCAGCTGGGACTAGAACTGATGCCCATGTGGGATGCTGACGCTTCAGGCCAGGGCTTTGACTTCCTGTGCCACAGCGCTGGCCCCTTGAACATTTTCTTTTTTTTTTTCTTTTTTTTTTTTTTTACAGGCAGAGTGGACAGTGAGAGAGAGAGAGAGAGAGAGAGAGAGAGGTCTTCTTTTTGCCGTTGGTTCACCCTCCAATGGCCGCCGCGGCCGGCGCACTGTGGCCGGCGCATCGCGCTGATCCGAAGGCAGGAGCCAGGTGCTTCTCCTGGTCTCCCATGCGGGTGCAGGGCCCAAGCACTTGGGCCATCCTCCACTGCCTTCCCGGGCCACAGCAGAGAGCTGGACTGGAAGAGGAGCAACCGGGACAGAATCTGACGCTCTGACCGGGACTAGAACCCGGTGTGCCGGCGCCACTAGGTGGAGGATTAGCCTAGTGAGCCACGGCGCCGGCCCAAACATTTTCATTACCCTGAAAAACCCCCACAGCTATTAGCAGTCACTGTCCAGTCGACTTTCTCTTCATCTACTTTCCGTCTCTGTGGTTTGTCTGTTGTGGATATTTTGGATAACTGGAATCATAAAATGAGTGGATTTTTATCACAGGCTTCTTTCACTTAGCATATCTTCAAGGCTCCTCCACCTGACAGCATGCATCCATGCCTCATTCCTTTCTATGCCTTAATAATATTCTGTTGCACAGATAAAGGATTAATAACCAGAATCTACAAACAGATCAAGAAACTCTACAACAAAACAAGCAACCCACTTAACAGATGGGAAAGGACCTCAATAGACATTTTTCAAAGGAGGAAATCCAAATGGCCAACAGACACATGAAAAAATGTTCAGGATCACTAGAAATCAGGGAAATGCAAATCAAAACCACAATGAGGTCAGAATGGCTCACATTCAGAAATCTACCATCAGGCTGTCAACACAGAAGTTCCTCTTCTGTAACTGGCGAGGATGTGGGGAAAAAGGACACTAACCCACTGTTGGTGGGAATGCGAACTTGTTAAGCCACTATGGAAGTCAGTTTGGAGATTCCTCAGAAACCTGAATATAACCCTACCATACAACCCAGCCATACAACTCCTTGGAATTTACCCAAAAGAAATTAAATTGGCAAACAAAAAGACTGTCTGCACCTTAATGTTTATTGCAGCTCAATTCATAATAGCTAAGACCTGGAATCAACCTAAATGCCCATGAACAGTAGACTGGATAAAGAAATTATGGGACATTTACTCTATAGAATACTTTACAGCAATAAAAAACAATGAAATCTGGTCATTTGCAACAAAATGGAGGAATCTGGAACACATCATGCTGAGTGAATTAAGCCATTCCCAAAGGGACAAATATCATATGTTCTCCCTGATCGATGGCAACTAACCAAGCACCAAAAATGAAACCTGTTGAAGTGAAATGGACACTATGAGAAACAGTGACTTGATCAGCCCTTGTCCTAAATGTTGATGAACAACTTAATACTTTATCCCTTTTAGTATTTTTTTTTGTTCTACTCAATACTATTGGTTGAACTCTTTAATTATTCTTGGGTGTTTAAATTTAACTGAAAAGTGATCCCTGTTAAATATAAGAGTGGGAATAAGAGAGGTAGGAGATGTACAATTTGGGACATGCTCAACCTGACTTGCCCCAAACAGTAGAGTTAGAAACGTGCCAGGGGATTCCAATTCAATCCCATCAAGGTGGCATGTACCAATGTGATCAATTTCAGTTCACAATTGATCATACTGATAGGTCTAAGAGTCAAAGGGATCACACAAACAAGACTAGTGTCTGCTAATACTAACTGATAGAATTAAAAAGGAGAGAACTATCCAACATGGGAAGCGGGATACACAGCAGACTCATAGAATGGCAGATGTCCTAAACAGCACTCTGGCCTCAGAATCAGCCCTTAAGGCATTTGGATCTGGCTGAAAAGCCCATGAGAGTATTTTAGGCATGGAAAGCCAAGACACTCTGGCAAAAAATCAAAACAAAACAAAACAAAAAAACCTAAGTGAAAGATCTCTGTGAGTGAGATCCCAGTGGAAAGAATGGGCCATCAAAGAAGGAGCCACTTTTCTTTGAAAGGAAGAGAGAACTTCCACTTTGACTATGACCTTGTCTAAATAAGATCGGAGTCGGCGAGCTCAAAAGGCTTCCGTAGCCTTGGCAACTCATGACAAGAGCCTAGGGTGATTACTGATGCCATAAACAAGAGTATCAATTTGTTAAGTCAACGACAGGAGTCACTGTGCAGTTACTCCTCATGTAGGATCTCTGTCCTTAATGTGTTGTATATGTGAATTAATGCTATAACTAGTACTCAAACAGTACTTTATACTTTGGGTTTTGGTGTGGGTGCAAACTGTTGAAATCTTTGCTTCATATATACTAAATTGATCTTCTATATATAAAGAGAATTGAAAATGAATCTTGATGTGAATGGAATGGGAGAGGGAGCGGGAGATGGGAGGGTTGCAGGTGGGAGGGAAATTATGGAGGGGAAAAGCCACTGTAATCCATAAGCTGTACTTTGGAAACTTATATTTATTAAATAAGTTAAAAAAATTAATATTGTGTTGCAGAGATAGACTACATTTTGTTTGTCTACTCATGAGTTTGATAGGTGTTTGGGTTGATTCCACCACCTTTTGCTTTTGAAAGAGGAGGAGTAAAGTGATGTGCACAAACTAAACTTTCCTCATTGCCCGATGTTGCATGTGTCCTGCTTCTTGGTCAGGGTTTGTGTCTGTTCTGTTCATGTTGTATCTGATGAGGATGGTGCCCGGAGCAGAGGCCATGTCCCAGGAGTAGATGTTGAAGGAAGAGCAAACCCATCAATATGTATTTGTGATAGGTGGTGCTAGGCACTCTTCCATGCCTCCCTTCAGTCCTTACAAGAAAATGATGACATTTGAGGTTAGCAATTACCAAGGCAGCCCATGTGATATTTCTGTTGGACAGCCTCACTGAAGCCATGGCATTCTTTTTTTTTTTTTTTTAAGATTTATTTATTTATTTGATAGAGAGAGAGAAGTCTTCCATCTGCTAGTTCACTCTCCAAGTGGCCACAACAGCCAGAGCTGAGCCGATCCAAAGTCGCGAGCCAGGAGCTTCTTCTGGGTCTCCTACGTAGGTGCAGGGGCGCAAGGATTTGGGCCATCTTCCATTGCCTTCCCAGGCCACAGCAGAGAGCTGGATTGGAAGAGGAGCATCTGGGACTAGAACTGGTGCCCATATGGGATGCTGGCGCGTTAGGCCGGGGCTTTAACCTGTTGCGCCAGAGTGCCAGCCCGTGTTTATGTATTTGAAAGGTAGAGTTGCAGAGAGAAAGAGAGGGAGAAGGGAGACAGAAAGGAAGAGATCTGCCATCTACTGGTTCACTCCCCAAATGGCTATAACTTCCAGGGCTGGGCCAGACCAAAGCCAAGAGCCAGGAGCTTTTTCCAGGTCTTCCATGTGAGTGCAGGGTCCAAAGCACTTGGGCCATCTTCTGCTGCTTTCCCAGCTGCATTATTGAGGAGCTGGATTGGAAGTGGAGTAGCTGGGACTTGAACCAGCAGCCATATGGGATGCTGGTGTTGCAGGTGGCCTAACCCGCTTCACCACAGTGCTGGCCCCAACTGTGGCATTCTTGGGAGTGTGGGCTATCTCTTCTCCTTCACTGTCTGCAGACCCCAGCACATAGTAGGAGCATGTTTGCTGAATCTGTTCCCATGAAGTGTTTGGCTTCAGTATGATTTGGCTTCTAGCAGCTTTCTCTGCAAAATGTGGCTGGGAAGAAACTAGTTTAATTCAGACACATCATTTGATTGATCCTGCCTTGGCTCAGGTTTGAATCCAAGCAGCCCCTTTTCCAAAGGCCATGGCACGAGGAGGGTGGGTTGGAAACAGTCGAGGCAGATGCTCAGTGCTGTCGCACTGTGTCCCATAAGGGCACCTTGGAAACCCAGATGGTAGCGTCCGGAGGGACACCCTCAGGACAGACTTGCCTCCAGCAGGCGAGTGGTCCTGGCTGCAGAAGAGAGAATCCATTCCAGAGGAAGTCAGAGAGAGCAGAATTTTTCCCAGGGAGCAGCGCTGCCCCAGGCACTCTCAGAAAAAACTGGAGAAGCAGCAGATGGGGAATGTTGGCTTGGGTATGATGGTTCTCATTCAATTAAAATATCCAGTGGGGAAGTAATTGGAACAAGGCATTGAGGGGTGGACTTCTGATAAGTTAAACCCAGCTGGGTGAGCAGAAAGATCAAAGTAACATTATCATCATGGGTAGAGAAGAAATGGCCATGAATTTGTTTTTCCACTTAAAAAACTTAAAAACATATATTTTCCCTTCTTCATCCTTTTCAAGAGTTGATATTGACTCATTTGACAAGTCCAGGAACCATTTATAATTGCTATTAAAGGGAATCTTTAAGATAACTACCAAAAGTCAGTACAATTTCCCTGCTCAGGCTTCTTAGTTTTCTTTTATTTTTTTTTCCCTAAAGGTTGATTAATTGATTTGAAAGGCAGTGTGACAGAAGGAGAGAGAGAGAGATCTGTCTGCTGGTTGACTCCCCAAATGTCTGCAACAGGTAGGTCTGGGTCAGTCTGATGCCGCGAGCTAGGAGCTCCATGCTGATCTCAAGGGTGACCCTAACCCAAGAACTTGAGCCACCATTCACTGCCTTCCAAGGCAAATTAGCAGGGAGCTGGATTGGAAGTGGAGTAGCTGAGACTGAAACCAGCACTCCAGCATAGCATGCGTGCATCCCAAGTGATGGCTGAGCACACTGTGCCACAATGCCTGCCCAAGGTTTCTTAGCTGTTGTGACTTCAGTCTTGTATCGGGCCTGTCGTGCCTGCCCAGTTTCCTGCATAGTGGGGTGGGTGTCCCTGAGTGACTGGTTACGCGAGAGAGAAGGAGCGAGTGTTCACTCTGCCCCTGAGAGAGGGAATCCAGTGATTCAGTGGGTCTTGTCCTGCTCAGGAATCCTTTGGCTGCAAGGAACAGAAACCTGCTTGGACTTGTTCAGGGAAAAGTACATACAGAACAAAACTGAAATCTCATGGGCTCCCAGGGCGTCACGGGACTGGATTGTTGTCAAGCAGCCATGTTTCTGCCTCCCTCCACGATGCCCATTTTTTGTGCCTGCCTCCATCCATCTGGGATTCTCTCTGCTGAGTGATTCCTCCTTTTATTCCTGTATTTTCACCTCCCTTGATTTCAGGCTGGATTTGGCTTGCTGTGGAGTCAGCACCTGGCCTAAGAATGAAACTTTTTTTGCTCAAAACTCATCACTCTCTCATGATCATTTCTCTTTGTGGTGGGAGTGAATCAGCAGGGAGGGAAATCTCAATTTTTGGGTGGGAGATAGGGGGCTTCTCATCCCCCCCCCCCCACCTTAAAAGTTGTATCAGGTCTAAGGTCCTAGTTTTTGCCACAAGTCCTTTACATGGAAATAAATTTTCACCAGGAGAGCCCCTGCTGAGAGCTGTGGAGTACGATGTGGCATCCAGAAGTAGACTTTATGTGGATAATGGTCACTGTTTATTGCTCCTCAACATAAAGTTTTCTCTTCTTTTTTCTAATAGAGTTTGACTTTCGCCCACACATTCTCTCCATCCTCCAGTTTTGAGGGTAGATCTAGAGCAAGGTCAGCAAGCTGTTTTCAGAAAAAGGCCAGAGAGTAAATACTTTAAGCCTCGGAGGTGGAGGGCAGATGGTCTGTCTCACGAGTAGCCATTGGGACAGCTCTGCTGTGGTGGTGTGAGAACAGCCAGGGATGATGTGTAAATGAACAAGTGTGGCCGTGCTCCCGAGACGCTTTAGTTACAAAACCAGGCCAGGGAGCTGAATTTGGCCTGTGGACTGCAGTTTAGCAACCCCATCTCAATTCATTTTAACCAGGGTTTCTCACCCTCGGTACACCTGCCATTTTGGACAGGGCAGTTCTTTGTTGTAGAGCTGTTCTCTGCACTGTAAGATGTTTGTAGTATCTCTGACCTCTGCTTACCAGATGCCAGTAGCCCCCCACCCACAGTGTGACAACCCCAAATGCCTCCAGACCTCACTAGATGTCCCAGGGAGCTTCTCTCTGGTGACTGTCGTTGGTGCAGGCATGCTCATGTGACCCCAGCTGGTCCAAACGGACTGACGGGGAGGGCTCGCAGCCCATGATTTAGGTAGAGTGTCTTTGTCTCTCTCCTCTTGGAACATTAGCACCAAGTGCCACGGGCAGCCACTGTACAGCTGTGCCAGGAATCAGACTCAGAATGGAGCCTGCACTGTGGATGGCAGGGCACGGGGACAGCAAGAGCCTGGGACCTTGCTGAGTCACCGAATCCTCCAAACCTGAAACCCTGCTTACCTACAGCCTTCTTGTTGAGTGACAGATGGTTTCAGATGGAGTTTGTTGGGGGCATTCAGCAAGGTAATTTGTTAAGGAGTGCCACAGGATTTTACCAGTTATTATTGTTACTATTAGAGAGAAAGAAAACTTCCATCTGAACCATCTGGTTCACCCCTCAAATGCCCACAATAGCCTGTGTTGGGCCAGGCTGAAGCCAGGAGCTAGGAACTCCATCTGTGTCTCTCATAGGGTGGCAGAGACCTAACTACTTGAGCTATCACGTCTGCCCGCCCAGGTGTGCGCTAGTAGGAAGCTGGAACTGGGAGCTAAGGCTGCAACTCAAACCCAGGCACTCTGGTGTGGAATGCAAGTGTACCAACCAGCATCTTAACTGCTACACTGAATACCCGCCCTGGATATCAGCCTTGAGGCAAAAGGGGGCGGCAGGAGGTAGAGTTGGGGGCAGATCCTCTTAGCAAGGGTATGAATGGGGAGACACTGATTGGTGTCTCAGTATGTTTCTTTTGGCTCTACAAAAGCCTTTAAGAACTTATCTTATTGCTCAGCCCCATGTAAATGTGGTGGTGCAACACTTACTGGTGCGTCACTTACTGGGGCTGGCGTCCTGTGCAAACTTGCTCAGTGGTATGTTTATTTTTAGAGGAGCTTGGATTGCCTGATTGGTTACAGAGAATTTTTAAAATGCTATCTTCCTAGGAAAGAGATTTGATCAGAAAACAGCGGCAGTGTTTGGCCTGATACATGAGCGTTAGATCCTAAACTGCAAGTGCAGTAGCTGCAAAGATAACAGGAAACCAATTTCTGTTCAATTCAAACCAGAGTTTCTCTTAGGATCATGCTCTTGCTGTTTCCAAGCCTGTTCCTTATCCTCCCCACCTTTTCTCTTGCCTCCTCCTATAGCTCTTAGCTGATACTGAGATAGACACACACACACACACACACACAAAGCATGTAGAACATAATAAGAAGTACACTTTCAAGAAGGTTTTCACAGCAAGACATTGAATGGTTTTGGAGAAGCTGCTGGACTTAGGCTACAGAACCTAGCCCTGAGCTTGCACATCACTCCACTTTCCTAAGCCCCGGTTCACTCGTCTGTGAAATGTGTTGAACTACATGCATTTAGCTGTGCACTCATGACGTTCGAGTGGAATAGTGTAAGGGAAAGAGAGAATGGATTGGAATGGGACTGTCTAATCAGAACAAGGCTTGTTATCAGTGGGTGTTTGAGGCCTGAACGTTTCTCTTCCCCTTTTGCTGGTGTCCAGTGGTATCCTAATTCATTTCATGTTCTTGAGGGTTTTTTTTTTTGGCCCCTATCTGTTTTTTAGATTTAAGAGTCAGATGCATAAAGAACATGCTCCCATCCACTGGTTTATTCCCCAGATGCCTACAGTGGCCAGGGCTAGGCTGGGGCTGAATCTGGGAGCTTGAAACTCAATCTTGGTCTCTCACTTGGGTGGCAGGAACCTGAGTACTGTGTCCATCACTGTTGCTTCCCAGGGCTTTCATTGGCAGGAAGCTGGAATCAGGAGCCTGAGCCAGTGATTGAACTCAGAACTCTGATGTGGGATGCGAGCATCTTAACCAGCCTTTTTTTTTTTTTTTTTTTTTTTTTTTTGACAGGCAGAGTGGATAGTGAGAGAGAGAGACAGAGAGAAAGGTCTTCCTTTTTCGTTGGTTCACCCTCCAATGGCCACTGAGGCTGGCGTGCTGCGGCCGGCGCACTGCGCCAATCCAAAGCCAGGAGCCAGGTGCTTCTCCTGGTCTCCAATGGGGTGCAGGGCCCAAGCACTTGGGCCATCTTCCTCTGCACTCCCGGGCCACAGCAGAGAGCTGGCCTGGAAGAGGGGCAACCGGGACAGAATCCGGCGCCCCGACCGGGACTAGAACCCGGTGTGCCGGCGCCACAGGCGGAGGATTAGCCTAGTGAGCCGCGGTGCCAGCCAACCAGGCTTCTTACCACTAGGCCAATGCCTGCCCTTCTAGGGGTTTATTGGTTGTTACTGAGGTTCTCTCAGTTTGGGCTGAGATGAACAAAGATGTGGAGCTGCATTTTTTGGCAGACATCAGCGATGACAGATGAGCATAGGTACTAGTCTCAGAGCCAGGTGGTCAGAGGCACCTCCAGGAAGTTTCTCAGTTTTTTCTTCTTCTTTTTAAAGATTTTATTTATTTATTTATTTTAGAGGTAGAGTTACAGAAAGTGAGAGGGAGAGACAGAGAGAAAGGTTTTCCATCTGTTGGTTCACTCTCCAGATGGCTGCAATTCCTGGAGCTGCATGATCCTAAGTCAGGAGCCAGGAGCTTCTTCCAGGTCTCCCACGTGGGTGCAGGGGCCCAAGCACTTGGGCCATCTTCTACTGCTTTCCCAGGCCACAGCAGAGAGCTGGATTGGAAGAGGAGCAGCCGGGAGTAGAACTGGTGCCCATGTGGGATGCTGGTGCTGCAGGCAGAGGATTAACCTCCTGTGCCATGGTGCCGGCCCTGGTTTTTCAATTCTCAGGACCATCTGCTGCCAGGCTCGGAATACCATGGGGCCAAAAGAAAACGAGAAGACGAGCAGCTGGTCCTCCAGGAACAGCCCCCTCCACACTGGGAGCAGTGGGGTGGGCACGCACACCCTGTGTGTGCACCCCTTCCCTGTCGTTGGTTAGCTGTGTGCCCCTTGAGTGAGTTAGCCTTCTCCAGCCTTCATAGGTAAGACAGGGATAACCACCGGTCTCCTCTCAAAGGGTGTCGGAGAGAATCATGTGGCTACGTAATGAGCGTATGACCTGCTGCCCTTCTTGCTCTTGTACTTGATGCTGGCTCCTTCTGTCTCTCCTAACCGAAACTCTGGGGATTTTGCTGCTTTATGGCGGTCATTCATTCACCCAGGTTTTGGCTCACCGAGGTGCTGTTCATCTCTTCACTTAATTCCTCTGAAGGGGAGAAGCTCTGGATCCAGGTGCTATGCAGAGCCTGGTGGGTAAATGTGTGCACTTTGGTGCCAGGCTGTGTTCAAGCCCTTGTTACTGCATTAGCCAAGTTGCCTAATCTCTTGTTAACTATCATTTCCTCCTTTGTCCAGGAGGGGCAGCATCAGTATTGGCCTAGGAGGGCTCATTGAGGTGACACTCGTGAAACCCTTGGCCGCATGCCTGGCCCTCTGGGTGTGCAGAGTGATAGTGGCTGTGACTGTCCAGTTAGCCTGTGTTGAATCTTCGTTCTGTTTCTGG